TCAGAGACTTTTCCCTAACAGGAGAGTGTACTCAGGGGAATAACATTTGGAATAAGTCAAGGAATGGACTTCCTAAACTTTCCTGTGATTATCTGGGTCAGAATAACTGTACCTTATTCAAGACAAAGTTCTGCCTGAAGTTTTCCCCACATTCAGACTGCAAGAGTGGTTCTTGGTCTACCACACAAATAGGAAAACAACTGTGCTCTAGGGTTCACACAGCTGCAAAAAACACTCAAGGAAACCTTTCTGTGAGCAATTCTTGTAAAATACTTGTCTTTCTGGCGTTGTTAACTGTGTGCAAAGACTCAGTTATCAGAGGTTTTTGTTGTCATTCTTTTTTAACATTTGTCATAGCAAAATGGTCTAAGTAGCCCGCTATCACCACTTTTACTAAAATGATATTGACAGGTTGAAGGAAATAATGAAAATATATTCATTTGATACCGGTTAGTACATGGACGTCTTCTCTAATGATGAGAGCAAGGAGATACTCTACAAAAGCATTTGGCAGAGCTAGTCAAAAACTGCAGAGAGCTTTCTGTGAAAAGACTTGATGAAAATTTGTCCTCCCCTCCTCCTTCTCCTTTTTGGACTTTTAGTCTTTCAGATAGAAGATTTCTATGACAAAACCATTGATGCAGAGGAGGGCAAGGGGGATCTTGGCAGGGAAATCGCCACCTGAGTTTTTCCTTAACCCAAATAAGTTTTGTTTTACCAGCAGAGGATAAAGGACTTGTACAGTCTTGTTGTAACTACAAGAAACTCCTAAGAATAGGAAAGCGTAGGACTTTCCCTGAGGTCGAATTTGTTGAACTGCAGCCTAGACATCCAAGGGAAGCAATGGAAGCCGCACCACTTGAGAAGCTAGTACAAAGAGCCATCCTGTGCTGGTAAAAGAAATGGGTAAGGTAACCTAGTAGTTCATTCCAGTATCTTATTTCCAAGTTTCTGTGACTCCTTATATCCTGTAGGACAAATGAAATGCTGTGAACACTGTGCCAAAAGAAAAAGGGCAGGGGGTCCTGCTGTACTTAGCCATGTTAAGCAGTATTTATTCCATACTTAGGAGGGGAAAGCTACCCTCTGAGTAACAAAAGCATAGCTTGGTCCAAAATAGGATCAAATTAAGCCTTGCATTAATGAATTGCAGGATGTTGTACGCCACATAAGCTAATAAATGAAAAATGCCTGAGAGCTGAATATTGTTTTGGAAAACAGTGAATAATCAAGGAGAAGAATTCAACAGTTGGTATCTGAACTCCATACATTTCAGGAAAGAGTCTACAGACCATGGCTGCAAAATGTTAGACATTAAAAAAAAGAATTTTCCTGAGCAATTCGTACAGCATAATTGTTAACAGTTGCAAAGAAAACAAAAGACAGTCAGGCACTGAGACTGAGAACAAATGACACTTCCACAATACCACCTTACTTCTCAAAATAATCAGGTTTTAGATGTTCTTGGGATTTTCATTTAGATATTTCATTACCTGCTGCTGTAATATTTAACTGATGTCTCATTGCTAGTAGGACAGAAATATTTTATGGAAAAGCTGTCTTATAGCACTCCGCTTTATATACTTTCCCACCTGTCATTTGCAGTGATGAGACTGGAAAAGAGGTTGTTAAAGCTGGGCTTGCCCATTGCTCTACACAGTGCTGATGTGGGTTGTCTCTTTTGCTTGGGACCCAGAAACACATCATTCCTGTTGCTATGACTCTGTGCTCTGCTCCCCACCACCTTCTCTCAATAAACCTTTATATCCTTACTCCAGAATGCACCTGCCTCTGTGAATAAGGGCCATCACATCCCACCACGACCCTTATAAACTTGTATACTTTTCCTACAAGCTAATGCTAGCTTTAGCTTCCTGGCTTAGATCTTTTAGTACTACTCTACAACTAATCTGGCCAGGGATTTTGTCCTTTTCTGTCTAACTCCAGATGCTTATAAGGCATCGCTGTACATGTATAAATGGGAATCTGATATACATTGGTATAGAGAGCACTTGAGGACCTATCCGAGTGGTACTAGCCTGAAGTAAGTTGCATTATATTTTCTGGAAAAGGTGATCGTTTCTTCAAGAGAGCTGCACGACACCAACATAATTGCCCCTTCCATTAGCTATATTTTATATTTTCAAGTGCTGCCAAACCAGCCTGGTAAAGGAAAAAAGGCGCCGGAGCTTTCAACACTGTAAATGATAGGTTGGAAAGCAAGGACGTTTAGCTAACAGCTTTCCCATACGATCTCCTAGTATGTTCAGCTTATGCATATATTTACGTTAGAGCGCACCGCATGTGCGTTGAGTCCGTGAATACCAGGATGCCTCCTGGTAGGGATGGAGCGGGCAGCGAAGTGGCGGCTTGTCGCGGATCAGCCGCCTCTGCGTGCAGCTCCGGCAGCGGTACCACAGCATCCACAGCAGCTGGATGAGCATCAGTGTGATGAGGTAGGAGAGCAGGTGGCTCTTGCTGATGCCCACGGCATGCACAGCCCAGGCGAAGGTGAGCAGCAGCCCGGCCAGGAAGAGGTTGATGCCGTACTGGCTGCTGAGGATCTCGGCGTTTTTCTGCGGGTAGCCGCCGCCCAGGGCGGGGGAACCG